GTTATATCAATGTAATCACTTATCACGTCGATGACATCAAGTTGCAGTAAAAATTTATTTGTTTATGTGTTATTGTATCAAAATTATGTCTGTTAATTGTTACTATAATGTATAACAATCATAATTATAAAACTATTATAAATAACATTATTAATTTTAATAATATATTTATTTTTTTATTATAATTTATTGTTTAGAATGTTGTCGTTGGTTTAAGTTGTGTTGTCTTTACACTTGTGTTTTTTTTGTTTTTGATTATTTCTAGACATTTACAATAAGTTTTTTGTTTGTTGCTCAAAAATGCATAATTTGAAAATGAATAAACAGTGGCTGCAAAATAAACAATTATTTACCAAATACAAATCTTTATATTCTAAATAGAAAGCATAAAACACGTTTTGCCTTTTGTTTTTGTTTGAAAATGATAAAAATATTCAAATTACAAACAATGAATTCATATCTTGCTTCCTCGACAGTGGCACGACGTGAAATTCAATGAATGATCACAAAACCTCGTGGTAATCAAAGTTTATTTAAACGCGACTATTTTATTGTTAAAGTTGATTTTATAAATTTTCTCGATTTTGCGATTTTTGATACTTTTGAAAATGTATTTTACTTATTTTTTGTTTATTTTACATGTAATTTCTTTAAGATTTATTTTTCGAAGTCGGAACAAACAAAATTGTCTTTTCGTCTTATTTTATTTCTTTTACAAAAAAATAGTAAAACCCAATTTTTTTAATTATTGTATTTTTCAAAGTTTACAAAAAATCTATTTAATTTCCCTTGTAATTGTTTTTGAGATCAATTGCATATTGAAATTTCAAGACACCTCAAAGTCTATGCTTTATTATTTTTTCTTTGCTATTTTATGATGCAATTGATTTTGAATATTCCAGACCAGTATGTTTTATGATGCAATTATCTCTTTGTTATATTTCATAATTTATTTTATTATTGTTATAATTTGTAGACATCTCAATAAAATTTTGATCTGACTTTTCCATTGAACCATGACTTGTTTCAAAAAGATCAAACAAAAAAGTGAACCTTTGTTCATCCCAACTTCAACAAAAAATTCACTTTTTTTACTATAATTTATAACAATTTACTATAAAAATATACTAGAGCCGTCGTTTCAGGGTGTCTAGCTTTTTTTGAAAAAATTAAAGAAAAAAAAGGTCACATTTACATTACAATTGACTAAGATTTTTGTTTTTTACAAATTTTGTTTTTTTGTTTTTGAAGGGTTAAGTTGTCTCATTAAATGTTTAAATTAAAAATATACATTGTAAACAAATATTATTGATTTTTTTAAATACAGGCAGTGAAGTGAAGGTATAAATTTTCAATTGATTGCTAAATAAAAGGGTTTTTTTGTCCAGAAATATTTTATTTTGATTGGCTGAAATTGTCATTCTCAATAAAACCCTTATTTAACAAGCCGAATTTGTCCTTTTTATTATAATAAATATTGACATTTTGATTATCTTGTTACCATTTTGTTTGTTTGGAAATTATATTTTATAGTTATTTTAATCATTTATAAACTATAGAAAGACAACAATCACACATAAACCAAGAAGCGAATAAACCAATACAAAACCATCACTTAACTTGGCAACAAAGCAAACTTCACAAATCCTGCTTCATCACAACTCAAACAGATGATAAGCGTGTTTGTTTTTGCCAGCTCGCCCAATAGCCAATAACCACACTCGCAACTTACCATTAATTAAAGATCTTAAAGATGATGTAATAAAATTTAATCTTTGAATATTTATGTAATAAGTGGCTAAACAATGACAAAACAACAATAACAAACGTGTAAAATGACACCAAAAATGTTTAGTCTTTGTTTTCTTTTTTAACAAGAGTCAATGCTTGGTGTTTGCCTTTTTTTTTCTTTAGACTTCAATTTATTTTTTAAGTTCGTTCAATTTTATTTTTCAACTTATTTTTTCAACAAAGTCGAATTTAAAAATAATCTAAAAATGGGTCTAAATTTTTTCAAATTATTTTTTTAGTTTTATTGACCAAAAAATTAAACCCGAAAAAACAGTAAAAATATGACGTAAAATTGTTCAATTATTCTCAAAACCCTTTTATTTAAGGGTTTCTTGAGGATAAGGTGTATCCTCAGGATTAAAGCTATCCTTATTAAAAAATATTTTTTTGAGGATACAAAAATCAAATCCATAAGGTTCAGTTTTTCATAAGGCCTACTTTCATAACTCAAGTTATAATTTACACTTAATATTTCGAGTCAAAGTTCGAATTTCAAATAATGGTAATAATTTGTCATAAATGCCAAAAAATTAAATACAATCAAAAAATCGCCACAATAATTGATGAACAAAAACAATAAATATATCTCGCGAACTTGAGACGGGAAATAACAAAGTGTGTATTAAACTTGTTCATATTATGATTATATACTTATTGAAATTATTTCCGAATCCGTCTTTATAACATAATAATTGAAATTTACGTTTAAATTGATAATTGTTTTTTTATCAAAATGAAAATTGAAAAAGTCGAAAACACTGATTTTCTAAAAATGTGATTTAAAAATAACAAATTTATTAATAATTTTGTAATTTATGCAATTATTCAAATATATTATAATAACAAAGTTAATCATATTGTGTATATTTTAATATGATTGTTTCATTTTGATATTAACTTATGTTTTAAACATATTTACAGTTCTGAGGATGGCAATTATTTTTTGAGGATGACAGAAATAGAAAGTTATCACTTTTACATCTATCTGAAATGTATATTGAGTAAGTTACTATTTTTGAATATGGGAACACGTCATTTCACTTTTTAGATGTTTAAGTCCGTGTTGATAATGTCTGTTTGTTACACGACTTACCATCCTCAGAGATATTTATAGCACTGCCATTATTGATTTAAAATTCTATAAATAAATTATATTTTCAAAGAATTGATAAAAGTGAGTTTTGTTAATTGATTATATCAAAAATCGTCAAAACACGACAAAAACACCAAATAATATATAAATTAATTAATAAATTGAACACATTTTTATTGAGAATTGATATTGTATAAAATATTAATATAACATATATTTCTTGTGTGTATATGTTTTGAAAAATAAATAAAACCGTTTAAAACAAAAATGATTTTATTTTGAAAATTTGTTTATTTATCAATCGTTGTTTTATCGATATCCAAAACCTCTCGTTTTGAATTTGCGCAAATACATTAATTGTCATCGTATAGAGTATATATTATTAATATGTTATTTGCTATCAATTTTTATTGTTTGAAATATCATGAATTGATTTATTATAAATTGTATTTTTTGTGAAAAAAAGATTAAAAATTGTTCGATTAATTTGTTTTGTGATTTTGATTAAAAAATTGACTTTTTCGATAAATTAAATTAATTTTTATTGTTTTTATATGAACCAAGGTTAGTCTAGTTGTAAATCAAAAAATAGAAATAGATTATTTTTTTGTAAAAATCAACTGAAAGAATCATCTTTCAAAAAATCCATAAATAGCATTTTAAAATAAAATCATGTGTTTCAAAATATATTTTTTTGATCTTAGGCAAAAAAATCCAAAATGAAAGAAATTATGTTTAAGATATTTACCATCCTCAGAAAAATAAACAATCCTCATGAATCCCTTTAGTATTCAATTGAAAATTTATACCTTCACTTCACTGCCTGTACATCAAAAACCATACACAACTTAGATGTTTTTTAAACAGTACTAAAAGTGTTATATACATTAATATTGGTTTTTATTTATTTTTGGAAATGTTGCACTTGTTTAGTACATTGTTGAATGTAATAAGTTAAGTGTTGATACTGACAAACTGCGTATTATCTTTAATTGTTTTTTAAATAAAATTTGTCACTGTCAATTCTCAATAAACAACATTTTATAAAAAAATGTTCTTAATTATAAAATGGTCAAGACATAATTTAAGCAATAAAAAATCAATTTTAATTTAATGTTTAAACTTATGATAAAACCCCAAATGTCAATTTTAAGTGTCAAGGTTTTTAAGATCAAAAAATGAGGTAAGACTAGTTATATAAACTGTTATAACGAGTGTTATATTTTAATTTGTCGTGCTCAGCATTTGTGCAACTCTCAATTTATAACTTGCCGATCAACACTTCTGACATATCTGTTATTTTTCCAATAAAATTCAAAAGTTTTAAAAGTGATAAACATTCTATTTTTGATAAAAAAATCTCATTTTGACAAACTTAGTTTTGAACACTTTGGAAACATCTCTTTTAATTTCCTCAACATGTAAATATCTCTACCATCAATAAACTTAACAAGTTGTACATCTCCCCAAGACGGAAAAACTTTCTTTGGGGGATTGCAGTTTCTGTGTTTGGGAAGGATGCTTTCGTGGCTTGAAAGTGAAAATCAGGAGGAGACTCTCGATTTATTGGTCGGACTTATTCTTCCAAAGGCCAGTAGAAAAAGACTTTCTTTTGTTTTGAAATGAAGTAGCTATATACATTAAAAGTGTATTAAAAACGTTCATTGTTGTTTAATTCAAAAAACACTATATGAACAAGATAATTTTTGTAT